TAGACTTCTTTAAACCTCACGAGAAGTCTACTCGATATCCTTTGAAAACAAAAAAATCATAGTAGACTTCATCTGACCGTATTTTGACTTCTTAATGTAGACTTCTAACTGAAGTCTACTGTTTACGTCTGCACACGAAGTCTACATTTAGGTTACTTTTGTAGTTTGACCAAAAACGTATAGGTCATTTTTGTGTTTGACTTATGTTTTTCAAAAATTAAAAAATTAAAAAATTTTGAAAAGCTTCAGTAGACTTCACAAAGAAGTCTACAAACAGTAGACTTCTCTGTGAAGTCTACTTATTGTGTTCGGTCAAACTTAGAAGGAATATTTTTTGAGTAGACTTCATTGTGAAGTCTACTAAAAAAATTCAATTGCAAAAATAACCTATTTTGTTCCGTAGACTTCTATTTATAAAGTAGACTTCAAACGTAGACTGCCGGAGAAGTCTACTCTTACATGAAGTCTACAATAGAAGTCTACTGTGTTAGTCAACGCGGTGGTCAAATGCAAAAGTAACATTTTTTGCCTGAAGTCTACAACTGAAGTCTACTGAAGGAAAAGTCAACGGAATGGTCAATTGCAAAAATAACCTTTTTTTAGTAGACTTCAGTTGTAGACTTCTCAATGAAAAAGTAGACTTCTCCTCCAGTCTACATTCGAAGTCTAAATAAGAAGTCTACTTTCCTATGTTTTTTTTAAAACGCGTTTTAAGCAAATGTATAAAATATTTTTCAAACCTTTTGGTTCAGAATTGCCTCTTATTAGGTGATTGAGCTACCCATTGAATTTTATCTCATTTCATTGGATATTCATGGTGGAATCAGAAGTTTCAATTTTTAAGATACTTAGCTTATAAAAGTAGACTTCGTATTGAAGTCTACGTTTTTAGTCTGCACTAGAAGTCTACGTTTAGACGTTTTTGTAAAAACGCCATTTAAGCAAATCTACGAAAAAAATTTCAATTTTTTTTGTTTACAATTGTTTATTAATAAGTGATTGAACTACCTAGGGTTTATTATTCCGTTTCATTGAATATTTCTTGTTGAATCAGAATTTTTGATTTTTAAGGTACTCAGCTTATCAAAGTAGACTTCATCGCGAAGTCTACTTTGATACAAAAAGTCTCTATGCAGTGTTTGCTAATACGGTTTATATGGTTATTTTCAGAGGATGGCTCAAATTCCAGTTGTGTACGGTGAGTGGAAGTTTACGGAGAATTCATGGCATTTTGTTGTTGACAATGGCAAAGGTGGGAGAATGTGGTTTTTGAACGATGGTTGCACCTTTGGGCAGCTTACTGAAATGGCGCGAGATGATTATAACTTGGGCAAGAGGACTGAGATCATCGAGTTAACCTACGCACTACCAGTCTCAATGCTGCAAAATATGGCTCCAGATACACCTCCAATGCATGTCACCAATGATAGACAAGTTTCAAGCTTGATTGCGTTAAGCAGAGTACATTTGTTACGCCTTTGTGTGTCCTGTCGAGTGGAGATGGATACTGAGGACAACCAGGAACGATCAGATGAAGATTTTGGTGAAGATGTTGAGGAAAATTCAGAACATTTAACCGATGATGAGGCAGACAGTTCTGATGTGAACGACGATGGAGAAGATGTCGACGATGCAGCTTACTCTGACGGAGAAGATTACAGTGTCTACGGAAAAGTGAAAGATGAAGATGATGAAGAAGATGAAGTCTGTATTGAAAAGGTCAGAACCCGATATGGTGAAACAGGGAGCACACCCATGTCATGGTCTGATAATATATATGTTGGGGCAAGTTTTCCTACAAAAGAGAAGCTGTTATCAGAGGTTAGACTGACTGCCATAATGTTAAAATTTGCTTTTAAAACACAGAAGTCTACCAAGAACCTGTTTGTGGCTAAATGTCGAGTGGAAGGATGTGCATGGATGGTTAGAGCGAGCGTGAAGAATGAGGCATCCACTTTTTGGATGACAAAATATGTGAAAGACCACACATGTTCAATAGCCCATCGAATGGCTCACCGTGGGAAGTCTACTCCTAAGTATATTGGCCAGATTTTTATAAGCTATTTCGGCATAATTGATAGACTTACACCAGAACATGTCAGAGTTTCAATAAAGCATATGTTTAGCATCAGGATGGATTACACTACCTCTTACAGATCTTTGATATATGCCCAACAATTGGTCAGAGGAACAGCTGAAGATGGATATGCGAGTCTACCAGCTTACCTACATTCAGTGAACAAAGCCAATCCGGGAACTGTATCAGCTCTTCATGTAGATTCGAATAACAAATTCAAATATCTATTTCTCGCATTTGGAGCATCGATTGCTGGTTTTCAGTACATGAGAAGAGTTATTGTGGTTGATGGCTGTCATCTAACAGGGAAATACGAGGGTACTTTGTTGGTTGCCACCGCACAAGATGGAAACTTTCAGATTTTTCCTTTGGCCTTTGGAATTGTTGATGGTGAAGATGATGCTTCATGGGAATGGTTTTTTTCTAAACTGCGTGAATGTGTCTCAGATGGTTATCCTTTGGTGATAGTTTCTGACAGACATATTTCTATTAAGAAAGCTTGTGAAACTATTTTCCCATGGGCAAAACGAGGGATCTGCTACTACCATCTACAACATAACATAGTAACAAAGTTTAGGGGGAAGCAGCTGTTGTACTTGGTTAAACGTGTGGCTTATGCTTACAACCTCTATGACTACAACCGGTACATGGCGGAGCTGAGACAGATCAAGCCTGACCTTGCTGACTATTTGGAAGAAGCCGATGTCTCTCTTTGGTCCCGAGTTCATTTTGTTGGAGACAGATACAGTATTAAGACTAGCAATATTGCAGAGTCTATAAATGCTGCACTTAGGAAGGCCCGTGGCTATCCCATTTCATTCCTCTTGGATTTCATCCGAGAGAAGCTCGGTCGGTGGTTTTTAAAACGCAGAGAGGATGCTTTGAGTCTCACAACACATAATACTCGGGGAGTGGAGTATTTGCTGGCGATTCGTGGACATTATGCAGATGCAATGGAGGTGGACCGAATTGACACTTGGAGATACTATGTGAAAGGAGGAACCAGGAATTGTATTGTTGATTTGGAACATGGAAATGTGTGAATGTGGTGTGTTTTACATCGAGAAGATCCCATGTTCACATGCTATTGCAGCTGCCTTAGCCGGTGGGATATCTGTGGATTCTCTTGTATGTCCGACTTACTCAAAAAACTACTTGTTTGCAGCATACTCTGCCAACATATATCCCCAAATTTCAGAGGTCCAAGGAGGCCCAACTTCAATATGTCTGCCACCAGACATTCGCTGTGCACCAGGCAGACGGAAGAAGTCTCGGTGGCAATCATGGCTAGAAATTGCTAGGAGGAAAAGCAAGAAGCCAAGGAAGCTGCACAAAGTATACAGCTGCTCCCAATGCAAGCAACCTGGTCATACCCTACCGAATTGTGTAAGTTGAGCTAAACTCGAATAACTATGTTGCAATTTTTATTTAATATACTTAGCCGTCGAAGATTCACCAGGAAAATAACAAGACGGCTCCGGAATAGGAAGACAAAGCATCTATTGTTCTCAAAGAAGTCATCTATTGGTGAAGTCTACTTTCGAAGTCTACTATGTGTGTGATATTTTGGTACAACGGTTATGTTTGAAACGACTTCATATATGTAACTGTTCTAACGACTTTAACGGTGCGTATAACCGTTGTACCTGTTTGTGTTCTGTATTTCTGCTTATAAATTCTCGGGTTTAGACGAATTATAGGCTCATTCCAGACCCATTTGAAGATGTCGAACCCCTTAAACTTTAACTCTCTCCCTTCCGACATTCTGTGGGATATCCTCTTAAAAATCACTTCTCGTTCCTACGGTGGGCTCTGTAGAGCAAAGGTCTCCTCCAAACATCTAAATGAGATTTCTAATGAAGAGGGTTTTTTAAGAGCCGTTGATCTAATAACTTTGACGATTCCATGGGTCTGGGATCAACATGGGAGGGTTGACGCTTTCTTTCGGCCCTGTTTGGAGTGTGGAAATCCTACAGCGCAATACCTACGAGCCGTTTCTCTAATCTTCTATGAAGATAGCATCCAAGAAGGATTTAACTTAATAAAGGTGTCATCAAATGGAGGATGTCTCATGGCAACATACTCCATGGTTATGTTTGCTTTAACCATGGATGGTAGCCATGATGTATTTAACCACATTCGTGGTATAGTTCCGGCAGAGGCAACGAAGATGCGGAAGACTATGCAGCACATAAACAGGTGTCCAACCACATATAAGAAGCCTGACGCGTTTCACGAACCGGTCTTCCATGTTTTTGATAAGGCACAATCAAGGAATTGTGCTTGTATGAATCTGCCAAACCAGCACTGGATGGATGATGAACGCCTCGTGGACTCATATGGTGACAAACTCTGCAGTCCTTGCTTCTGGAAGTTGGAATGTGCCTTCTTCTGGAAAACAATTCCTGGATTTGTAAATGAATGGCCGCAGTGAAATTAGTTGACTCCATGTTTTATGTTTTTTGGGTTTACTTATATGTTTACATGACTATGGTAGACTTCGTTTGTAGACTTCGTCTGTAGACTTATAATTCTTATTTTAATAAAACTTTTTCCTTGTACACTTTTTTCCGTCTACACTTTCTGGTATACTCGAAAATTACAGAACTTAATCAGTTGTAAGGGTGAAATCGAAAATTAGAAATACTAACATGTTAATATACTTAGTAGACTTCAGTACGGATACAATTACAACTTAGTAGACTTCAGTCAAAGACTTCAGTCGTAGACTTCAGTTTGAGTACAATATCCTAAACGAAAATACAACATATTTGGTAAGTTAATTATGAGATAGGTGGCCAAAAAACTTCCACACCTATCATCTACCAATTGCTAAAATGACCTCCAATCACATTGAAGGTCATTTATGCAAGTAGCCCAAAAGATGCCATAAAAATCAAAGTTAGTTTTAAGAACGGAAACACTAAGCTTGCCTATCATAAACATCCAGCCCGGTTGCATCTAGCTTATCATGGCCCTTACATCCTGTTTCGTCATAGATCTCTGCAGCCATTTTCTCCCTGATTTTTCGCATGTTTTTATCGCAGAGTTCCGGAGGAAATGGCAAATCCAATGCATGACACTCGATGTACTTCAGGCAGTACACTCCGCAATCACCACTCTGAATGTTTTGAGGTATCTCCGTACCTGGTACTCGCGAATGGGTGAACGGCGTGTAGGGGAATCTCCACTTGTCATCGTCAGGTGCACATGTCTGAAGCAGGTAGGGTATCATAACCGCAAGAGGCTCCACAGCTTCAGCAATTTGTTCGTCAGATGCATGTCTGGTTCGCGCATGGCTATCCCAAACCGTGATATGCTTGGTCACAAATGAGACCCATATTGCTACACAATGGTCCTCCCTAATGTGCAACATGGAGTACAACGAGTCCACATCATATGCCCACGTCTTCTTAGTCTGGCAGTAGATAGGTAATTCGCCAGTGTAGTACGAATATGCTCCAGGCGGCAGAAGTTTGCCAGCCCCATCTGCATTCGGCTCGGATTTTTTGAAGTCTTCGTAGTCATGCCTCCAAACAGTAGCAAACATGGAGTTCAGGAAGCAAATCCGGTCGGATACAAACCACTCCGGATGCTTGGATAATCGCAGCTTGAGTAGGTTGATGTAAGCTTCCATGTGCTGCACATTGGGGAAAATAAGAAATGAGTGAAGTCTGCAAACGAAGTCTATTATAGAAGTCTACGGAAGAAGTCTACGGAAGAAGTCTAACCACGAAGTCTACTATGAGAAAGAAAAACACTAACCGTATCAGCTAGCCATTTCGTCGGTGTCCGGAGAGTGTAATACCAATCGATCGAAGAGTTTCTTGGGCGTTTTGGCCAGGCACTGTACAAGTGAAAGAGTTAGAAAGGAAATAATACTATGAGGAAGTCTACTTACATACATATAGAAGTCTACTTACGGGTTTGATTTGATAAAGTTCATTAGAGTGGTATGCTTCGCCCTGACACCGGTTTGATCAAAAGGATCATATCCACGGGCACGGCCGGAGTGAGATGCCGACGATGGAATGATGGCCTTTGCGGTGCTGTTTCCTAAGAAGGGACTCTTCTGTGTCGCAGCCAGCTGGCGGTGTCGGGCACTCGTTGCTCGGGCAACTAGCTGAGCCGCTTCTCTGGCTTTGGCATTTTTGTCAAGTGCAACCGCGTCGAAGTCTACATCACACGTCTTCGGGTCAATTTCACAAATACTAGGCTCTGGGGCCTCTTCTTCATTCACGGCAGCCTTCTTTCCTTTTGCATCCCCGGGGGCGTTAACACTCTCACACGCACCAACGTTGACATTAGCTTTCATCGGAGCATCATCTTTCTCTGAATTACTCTGCAGTTTATTGTCAGAAAAATGCATGAATATACAAATGAGTACACCAATGCTATAATTTAGTAACATGTTTTATCATAGTCTGAAAATTGTAAGCAACAAGTTTTGAAAACATAAGTAAAAAATCTCACATGGTACATAACAGTAGTAAGCATGTTCGAATTCAAATGACATTAGTATTAAGTGTTCCTAACTTTGTGTGATCTTGTTCGCATGTAATGTTTTCGTATAGGCGGAGGGTTTTTGGAACTAACCCCTTCATGCTTCTTGGATCCAGTGCCCTGCTGCTGGATTGGCTCTTCCTCAGTGTGTTTCGCCGACCCCGTAGTCAACTCTTCTACCGCACGCTCTACAGATTCAACCTTCTCGGTGAGAAGTTTGATCTGCTTTTCACAGCTATCAAGACCATTCAGCATCTTGGTTGAAAAGCTTTCGAAGCATTGGTCGAAGTGCGCTTTCATAGTAGCGACAACTCCGACCCCTTCATCACCAACGAATGATGCGGCAGATGCAGAGGCTGTGCGGGATCTCTTGCGACTTGATTCATCTGAGGGAAGGCTCCTCTTTCCGGCTTCTGACTTGATGATGTGTGCACCCAAAACACCTTCCAAAGGCCAATGGTTTTTTGAGAACCTGAAATTGGGGTCATGGATTGCATTGACAATCTTGACAATAGCTGGATCCTGTTCGTCATCATCCCACACGGGAAACATATCCGCCAAGTCCTTAGCCACGCAGCACTGTATGCGAGCCTGGAAAAACACAATTAATAAATGGATTTAGGGCCATATGAAGCCACGGAAAACTACGTATGAAGTCTACTCCTGAAGTCTAACAATGAAGTCTACTCCTGAAGTCTAACACAGAAGTCTACACCTGAATGTCAAACACAATTAATTATACATATAGAAGTCTACACATGAAGTCTACTTCTGAAGTCTACACCTGAATGTCAAACACTATTAATTATACATATAGAAGTCTACACATGAAGTCTACTTCTGAAGTCTACATTGGAAACTCATTACTACATAGAAGTCTACTACACTAATACAGTACCTGTTTTAGCATGTTGGCTTTGACGTTCTTTCGTCCTCTGGATCCTTTGTAAGCCAGCAAAGGAGGTTCTTCAGTAACATTTGGCAATGGTTCGCCAAATTCAGCAGCAAAATCCGGTAGAGCATAGTACACCCACACTTGAAGAGCTTGCACAAATCTTTCTATATGAATGTTTTTGCTGAGATCTTTCTCCTTAACAGAATTAATCAAATGCTGAAAAGCAATTCTTCCCCATGGAAACTCCTTAAAACCTTCGAGATCCATCACTAGTCTGGCATGGTTGACATTTGTGGATGAGCCGGGTCTCGTTGCCACTATGAAACCAGCGTAGATCCCAAGATAACCCAACCGCAGCCTATCATCACGAGACCATGATGAGCAGTTGGAACAGGCTTCGATAATTTCGGTAGTGCTTGGGCCCGACTTGGCATCGACCCCCATTAACTCCCAAAATGCACGCGTGTCATCTTCAAGCGCAAGATCAGTTAAAGCCAAGTCATCCACGTACCCGCAGTTGAGTCCGGTGATCTCCTCAAACTCATGCAATGAAAACCGAATTGGAGTGGTACCAATGAGGCTCCATATCTTGTACCTCTGCTTGCAAACTATCTGAAAGGTCAGCATGTGGTGCACCAGCCTAGAAGCCCAACCAAAATCCAACTCGTGGAACTTTAAAAAGACACCCAACGGTGACTCGTAAATCTCTTCCCATTCATCCTCCTCTAGAGCTGACTTTAGTGCAGGGACCAGCCTATAATCATCAGCGTAATAGCCGATGCTTTTATCCGGGACTGGCTCAAACCCTTTGGTGTAAAGTCTTCTGGGGAATTCAGAGGCCATTATCTAACAAAGATTCCTGCATCAACGGTAACAAAGCTCTAATGAGAAAAACTAGTAACGGTTTGAAACTAAACCCGAATGAAGTCTACATTTTCAAAATGAAGTCTACTTTATCAAAATGAAGTCTACTTTCCCAAAATGAAGTCTACTTTCCCAAAATGAAGTCTACTTTCCCAAAATGAAGTCTACTTTCCCAATATGTGAAGTCTACTTTCAGTAAAAGAAGTCTACTTTCACAAAAAGAAGTCTACATTTTCAAAATGAAGTCTACTTTATCAAAATAAAGTCTACTTTCCCAAAATGAAGTCTACTTTCCCAAAATGAAGTCTACTTTCCCAATATGTGAAGTCTACTTTCAGTAAAAGAAGTCTACTTTCACAAAAAGAAGTCTACTTTCACTAAATGAAGTCTACTTTCACAAAATGAAGTCTACTTTCACAAAATGAAGTCTACTTTCACATTCTAAGTACAATCCGAGTCGCGAAGTCTACTGAAGCCAACCGAAGCAATCTTAACATTAAAAAAAACAGTATATGAAGCAATCAAAACATCATAAATACTACATATGAAGTCTACAGAACCCAACCGAAGCAATCAATACATGATAAATACTGTATATGAAGTCAATCTACAAAGTTTAGAGTGTTACCGCCTTTATTAGATGCAGCTGGCGCCGAGAAAATACAACCAGATCTGGTAAAAAAACCTAATTCAAACCCGACGGAACAAAAATTACAGGAAGATAGAAGAAATTTAAGAATTGCTAAGTATATAACTTCGGAACAACATCTACTAACCGTTTTGAGGCAGGAAATTACTTTAACCTCCAACGGCGAAAGCAAATCTGCAAAAAAAAAAAAACCATAATTTCAGATCTGGAAAATGGGGGTTTAGAAAACGGAACGGTGATGAATACGGAGTAGGGAAGCATGGGGGTGTGGTTGGAGAAAGAAAACTTGCCTGAACGAGTTTATCGGCGGCAGTTCTGAATGTCGACGGCGCCGGAGCAGAGAAACGGAAATCGCCTTCGAGTTTTTTTTTTTACACGAACTTTTCAACGGTTTTTTTTTAAACGGGATCTGTAATTCGTATATATAGGCTGGTAATTCCGTACGGTTCGGGTAAGTTTTTTCCGGTTAAAGTTGCTAATTTTCCGGGGTCTAGGTTAATTTACCCGGTTAAGGGCAGTTTCTCTTGGTTAAGGAAAGTTATTCCTGGTTTAATCTCGGTTAAATGTCCGTTAGGTTAATTTTTACGGTTTAGTAGACTTCAATATCGAAGTCTACAACTTTTAAAACCTAAATAATAAATTTACTTCTACTTAATTTAAAAACATACATTTCCATTTACCAATGTGAAAAAATAATTTTTTTGCATTTGGGTTACGATTACGGAATTTATGATGGTAAATTTCATACCAAAATAATTTTTTATAAATTTTTAAATTAAATTTACAGATTTAATTACTTAGTAGACTTCATTTGATAAAATGAAGTCTACTAGTAGACTTCAGTTTTACTTTAGTAGACTTCGTCAGGGAGAAAATGGTAATTAGGACATCCGTTTTTTGTTTACTCATACAGGATTAAATGGTCTTTTCACTACCTCTGTAGGTTATATCTGCTAAATGTTTTTTCAGGGGTCTACTTTTGTATTCAAAATTAGTTTTGGTTTATTTTTAGCAAAAACCTCATTGTAAATAAGTGTTGTTCATCTTAAAAAATGATATATACCAAAATTTTAACAAAAAAAATTATACAATTTAACTATTATTCATAAACTCAAATATAAAAATATTATACGATTTCTTAAATATATAAAGTCCGCGCTTGGCAAAAATTGAAAATAAAAATGTGATGTTTATGTTACAAGAATCTCGATAATCAAATTATAATAAGGTTTATATAATGATTGTGTCCGCGCGACGCGGGCAGATACCTAATTATAAATAAAATGACAAATAAGGAGTAGGAAGGATTTTCCTCGATTTTCCTTAGTTAAAGAAAATCGTAATGAAATTCATTATTAGAATTATGGCATTTGAGCCCTTTTGTTTCGAGATTATGGATTTTTAGCCTGTCGCTCGATTTGCATCCTCTCGTCTTCGTAATCAAACTTGGACGCCTATAAAGCTGTGGCTGCACTTGTTTGAGTTATTTGAAAGTAAGATTAAAGATTTGTTATGTCTCTCCCTCCTTCCAATCGACTCAGAGAGGTATGTACTTATACTCTTTCATTACCTTTTGACTCTCTTCTTTTTGTGAAATATTGTAACTTGTTAAAAAAAAACTGTTTATGATGATGTTCTGTAGTTTAGTCTCAATATTTTTCTACATATCGTTGTTTGATTGATTGAGTTACAAAAATTTGGTTGTTTGGGAGTCATCATCAAGATCAATGGGGGAATCAACCTGATAAGAAGTTCACTTGGGTGATTAAAAATTTCTCCTCTTTGCAATCCAATAGAGTATATTCTGATATATTCACAGTGTGTAGCTGCAAATGGTAAGAAGACGAGAAATTGTTTGCTAATGTTTTTTTTCCAAATTAGGTTTTACACTCCTTCGATTTGCTGATTATTTTCTTATGTCTTTTTGTTTGCTTGCAGGCGTCTTGTGGCCTATTCCAAGGGAAACTATGAGGATAATCATTTCTCTCTGTTTCTTGCCGTTGCAATGTCTGAAAATTTGCCTAAAGGATGGAGAAGAGACGCTAAAGTTTAAGAAGATGAAGAGACTTATAAAGGATGCAATGGTTTATCCAGCTCCTCTTGGTTTACCTTATTTGCCTTGATTTAGCTATTTGTTGTTTAGTTACTTTGCTTTATAATTCCGTTTTAGTATTGTTGTCACCTTTTATGTAAGTTCTTTAGCTACTTTTTATTTAACTCCCTTAAGTAACTATATTCTCTATTCATCTCTCCTGGACGGATCATATTAATCAACTTATGTTTGTGACTTTGTGTCGTATTATTTCATGTGTAGTACTATCACAATAGAGAACAGGTGTAGAAAGAGAAGAAAAATGAAGATCAGGGAGCATCTGAGCAAGCCAAAAAACTTCTGGTGCAGTGAATGACCTAGCTCTATACCCATCCTCTGCAGAAGATTTAGAAACAACTTGTTTCTTTAATTTTGTGGGTCTGCTATAAACTGATGGGCCATTTTTGCAACATTTTAAATTAATGAAGCCAAAAATAATAATAAAAAAAAGGAATGCGTCGAAGCGATTCGCATTCCTCTGGTCTTGGTAATCAAACTTGGACGCCTTTAAAGTTATGTCTCTGCACATCTTTGAGAACTTCTACTCTTTCATTACTTTCGAAGTGACTCAGAGAGGTAATCAAACTCGGCCTTTAAAGCTGTGTCCGTGTCTCTCTCTCGAAGCGACTCAGAACTAGGGGTATGTGATTCTACTCTTCCATTACCTTTGACTCTGTTCATTTTGTCAAATGTGGTGGTCACTTGTGGAAGAAAAAACTGTTTACAATGCTGTTCCATAGTGTAGTCTCAAATATTTAGTGTGGTTTTGTTTGATTGTTTGAGTTACAAAATTTGGTTTTTTAGGAGCCATCATCAAGATCAATGGGGAATCAACCTGATAAGAAGTTCACTTGGGTGATTAAGAATTTCTCCTCTTTGCAATCTGAGAAGATTTATTCTGATCAATTCGTGGTTGGTGGCTGCAAATGGTAAGAAGAAGAGAAGTTGTTTACTAATGTTTTTTTTCTTTCAGTTTAGGTTTTTACATGATAATCTCCTTCGTTTTGCTGATAGTTTACTTTTGTCTTTCTTTTTTTGTACTTGCAGGCGTCTTCTTGCCTTTCCCAAGGGAAATGATAAGGCTAATCATTTCTCTCTGTATCTAGTCGTTGCTGATTATAATATTTTGCCTATTGGGTGGAGAAGACACGTTAAAGCTTCCTTTACTATAGTAAATCAGTTTTCGGATAAACTGTCCCAACTTGGAGGTGATTTGATTCTTGACGATTCTATTCTTTTAGTAAGGCCGAGAAGTTTAATATTTATGTCTTGGTCTGCTGCGAGTTTTTGGTTTATATGTTGTGCAAGGCTTGTGTCGTTGTATATCTTGTATCATGAGATGAGAGATGTTTCGTGGTTTTGCAGAAACTCAACCCTGGTTTGATAGGAAGAGTCCTGACTGGGGGTTTACAGAAATGATTGCCCTTACCGAACTTAAGGCCAGAAAAGGATTTCTGGTGAATGATGAACTCATAATTGTTGTCAAAGTTTATGTTCTTGAAGTTGTAGGTAAATTAGATGTATCAGAGGAATCTTCACCAGTAATAGAAACCATAGATGTCAAGGGGTTTCAAGTTTTTCCTTCACAGGTCAGAAATTATGAGAAGCTCATTTTCTTGATGTAGTTACAATTTACAAGCCTCAAGATATGGTTTGTGGGTCTATCAATATATTTTTGGTGGGTCTATTACGCTATGGTTTTACGTGATATATCCATTTTCCACTTGCAGGTAGAATCTGTAAACCGTTTGTTTGAAAGACACCAAGATATTGCATCAAAATTACGTCCAAAGAATCCATTTATGAAGACGGCGTACATGAATCTCCTCCTAGGCTTAACCCGTACAATGTGTCAATCGCCTCAGGAAGTCTCCAAGGATGATATAGCAGAGCAATATGCTGCTCTAGCGTACTTGAAAGAGGCGGGGTTTAAGTTGGATTGGTTGGAGAAGAAACTTGATAAAGTAAAGGAAAAGAAGGAGAAAGAAGAGGCATTGAAGGAGAAGTGCTCAGACCTGGAAGCTCAAATGAAAAAGGTGAAGGCCGAGTTGCTGGCAGCTAGAGCTCCTCTCTCCTTGTACGATGACGATGATGATGAGAGCCCTTTCAAGTTTAAGAAGATGAAAAGATAATTTGTACGAATATGTTTTGTATCTCTATTCTTTCTTGAGAAAGTCACATTAATTTAGTTCATGTTGATGATGAGTATGAAGATGATTGGAGATAGTGATGATGAGACAGTAGACATCAATGGGTTTCATGTTCCTTTTTTCACAGGTCCAAAGAAACAACTGCTCAAAACAGCGTACTTACATGACCTAATTTGTGATGGTCGCCTCACACAAATGAAGTTTAGATGAAGCAGAAAACACGCTTCTTGATCCGTAAGATATAGGGTTTACCTTGGATTGGTTTAAGTTGAAGTTTGTGAAAGTTAACGTCAAGAAGAAGTAAGAGCAAGACAGTAGACAGGATTCAGGAACTGGAAAAAGAGGTGCAGAAGCCAAGTATAAGCTAGGTTTCGTTGTACTTTGCGGTGGATGAAAAGGAGGTGGAGTTTCCACATTTTCTTAGAGACTTGTATTTGATGAAGTTTTCACAGTTTATCGAGAAGTATTTTGTGTAAAAATGATGTCTTTGTGTCACAGCCACGAGCGACTTGGTTGCACGGTTTTACCATGTTTTTGTCATTTCATGATAAGATTTTGTTACAAAGATGCTGACAGACTGCAGAAATGTTTACATTGAGTGTACAAGTATATAATATACTTTGAGTGTACATGGGTTTTATAGACTAATCTAATCGTTTACATAAAAACAAAAAAAATCTAATCGTTTTCATTACGTTTTCTGGTTTAAATGGTAAGTTTTGTGTTATTGATCTAAATACTTAGAGCATGTCATGAACACAATGTAAGCTTAAAGGTTGCAAATGCAGAATTTGTGTCCAATACAATATTGCAAATGCGTCAGAAGTATGACATTCGTTGGAGGAGTTTAAATAAATTGATTGAACTCGTATTTGGTTACAAGATAGCCACGAAAGTTAGATTTCACATGGAAGCAGTAATCTTATTACAATTGAGGAAATATTATGTTATTTCTTGATTATGAACTTACATTTTCAGTTGTTGTAATTTTGTTTTTGTTTAAGTCATTTGTTATAACTTACAAGGGATTAAATTTAAAATCTCTTATGACTTAGCTTGAGGTGATGAAGTGTGCATCTGAACCCAAAATCATGATTTCACTAAATATAAACCACTGTTATGGAACTCCTATTAGTAACTATATTCTGTATGCAATTTTTTTCCTGGACGAATCATATTAATCCACGTAGCTAGTATCTTCTTCCATGATTTTTTTGGTCGATTTTGTCGTTAACTTCATGTTTCCAGTTCATGAATGGCTGTCTAATAAAGTTTGTTACGTTTCTTTATGTAAATAATGCTTCTATGAGAACGACTTCGTATCTTCAAATTTGTTTTATACAAGTTTTACTATTCAAATTTTCAAGTTAATTCATAATTTCTTTTACATTTCAGTCCTTACAGTTATCTATTTTTTAAATAATGTTATTAGTTAAGTTTGTTTATCATTTAAATTCAATAATTTTGTGTCTTATAATTATTTCATATATATATTTTATAATTATAATTTTCACATACAAGATAAAAAAAAATAAAACAGCTTAAAGTTAAAATTTCACATAACATTACAGAAAGTAAATTAAAAATATATAAATATAGCATAATACTATTAAGCCGATTTAATACAACCTAAAGAAAATTTAAACACAAAAAGTATTTTTTTACAACTTCTGATTTTTTTGTGTTCCTTATAATGTTAATAATGTTTTTATAATTACTTTTGTTTGTGATTTTTTTAATGTATGTTTTATAGTTGTTTATAAAATTTAATAATTTTAACTAATTATGCTGAAACTTACGGATTATAACACAAAAATATAATTTTGTTTTGAAGTTTATTTTGAAGTATCATTTTTAGAAAATTTTCAATTTTCAAATATAAAATGTCTTTTGGAGATGCTTAAGACGTTTCCTTTTGTGGTCTAAGAGGTCTTGTGGAAAACCAAAGTTCGGCGTGTCATTCCCGGGCCAATAATTTGACGAGTACCTGTTCGAAATAGTTGTTGAAATCATGGAAACTTCTCCAGGCCAGAGATCAGGTCGAGTCGAGACCATAGATGTGCTTTCAAAAGTGACGTGTTCTTGAAATACTTTGAATACTTGTGATTATAATGATGAGGAAACTGTTAGATTGTAACGCGCCATAATTGCTTTTCCAATAGTGCCAGATTAAAATTTTCTAATGTCAGGAAAGCCAATTCTACCTTTTTTTTTTGAGAAACACATTTGATTCTAAAACTTCTAGAGGATGTACTCAATTAGATATTTAATATTTAAAGGATATAATGATTTTGCGTGAATTAGGGAAATTTTTACGATTTGTTATTAAAATTTTCTGGAATGTCACATAAAACTATTTGGATTTTTGTATTTGTAACCAAAAACTTCACCAAAACATATTGAAGTCACTAAAAAACCCACAAAAAAATCCAATCATAAAAAATATTTTCAGTACCCGTGAATTTGAATGTATATTTTCAAAACATTATTTCAATAACACTAAATTCTAAAGAACTATTTAAAATTCATTTTTCAATAACATATTGCTAATTTAATATAAATTACTAGATTTTGCGTCCACGCTACGCGTGGGTATTTTGTTGATAAAAATTATCTACAATCAATTATATTTATTAAGATACAAATTTTATATATTAGTATTTTAATAATATAATTAAAATATTATAATGTTACTATAATTTTTATGTAAATTGTGAGATTTCAACCGTTTTTTTAATCTATATACAATATCTTTTTTCATAAACGTATTATTTGGTCAAAAACTTATAAGTTAATATACTCAAACCGACTAAAATTTTTACAAAATAATTAAATGCTACTATTTAAATATATATAGTATTGACATGACGATAAAATATTATACATTCATTTCTTCAAATCAAGAAGATAATTGTTTTTCATCATTTTTATTTTTATTCCAATTATATATGTGATCATAAAAAATAATAAAACAATAAAATTTTAAATATAATCTTTTTTTCTTATTTAACCAATACCATTTTGTGATCTATTAATTAAAAAACTAATAAATAAAAAATTTGCTTTGAAATTAAGAGCAACTTTAAATTCGAAACCAAAAAATAGTTGAATATGAAATGATTAAAATCACACAAAATTTATGAACTAAATTTATTTTTGTCAACTGGTTGTGTTAACTTTCAAATAATTTTTCAGTGATTATACATCATCTCTTCTAATAAGAATGAAAAAGAATTTTCATGATGTTCATTTTTATTCTTGTTATATCTGTTTTTTTCCAATAAATATATTATTTTTATTTATTTAATAAGTTTTATTATGATTATATTCAGTTTCATCATATTCATTGTCACTTCTTCTAATTATAATTAAATAGACAAAATTGGTATAGTTTAATAAATATAAATTTAGAAAAATGAATAACAAACTGAATAACTCAAAACTAAAAACTTCTTCATTAATATATTGTAATTCCAAATCAAATATAAAAATGTATTTTTCCAATCATTTTACATAATATATTATATAATATTATAAATATGTTTTGTATATGTGACAGAAATTTAGATGTATATAAATCATAAATATTATTTATTTAAAATTCTACTTAAAAAGCCTTTAAATCAAGTAACTTAAATTTGTATAAGTAGTATATATTTTATATATATATAGATAGTAAATTTGTAACTAAAACAGTGATAATGGAGATTTTAATATCATGGTGGTTTATTTTTGTTGTTAATGGAGATTTTTTAATTTTTTTAACCATAATATTAGAATTTGGAAACTTTTTTAATTTTTAAATGTTGATGTGGATGCCTTAAAAATAATATGGTTAAACTGTTATTAAATAAAATAGTTTAAATTAAAAAATTTCCTATATTGTTTTGTATTACCAATATAATTTTATAAAAAACTTTTTAAATTTTAATTATTGATGTGGACTAAAAACATTGACCTTTTAAATCTTATGTGGATGTCTTTGGAGGCATATGGCTTCAGCTTTTATTTTTCTATAAATATTTTTTGTTAACAATACAGTTTTAAAATTTGTAATTTTTTTTAATTTTAAATATTGATATGAACCAATAGAATTGAAAAATTAAATCGTATGTGGACACTCTAAGAGGCATATATCCTCAGGTTTTATTTGTAATATATTTAGATATTAACGCTGGAAGATCCCACACGAAATCCGTTGCGGCAAGTGATTTTGGTATCTCCTCTTGAAGTTTATTGAATGTATTCTGATACTGTTTGGTTCAGCTAATTGTTACATTTGTGGTTCAGGTTGGATTGTTAAACCCTTGTTAGATGCCATGTTATTCCAAAGATTTTCCTCGGATACTTCAATCTCTTACGCATTAATGTGGAATCTCTTTTTCTATTTTTAGTGCTTCGTTTTTCAAAATTTTTGGGTATCAATCACTTGACATGTTTCTCGAATTACTTGAACTTTATCATTCTTCTCAAATCCGGTGGCAAAACTTTAGAGATTTTACGGTCTCTTTTTAATATTAAAGCGGCTTGTAGTGGCTTTGTTTATATCTCTTTTATCATATTCTTTTTAACAGGTGGGCCATAATTAGACAACCGATCAATCTGAACATATGTAGGAAATCAATACTAATATTAAAATTTGGAAATTTTCATAATTTTAAATGATGATGTGGATCAATAAAATTATGTTTTAAAATCCTATGTGGACACCCTAAAAAGCATATAGCTTCAACTTTTATTAGTATAAGATTCTAAATTCTATATTGAATACATTCCTCTAATTTATATATATATATATATATTTCTTCGGTTTTTCTTTGTTTTACACTAGAAATATGTAATCAAATCACTAATTCTAAAATTTTCTAGTTGTATTTCACAGCATGAAACATGCCATAAGTTTAGTAGTAAGGACAAGTACAACAAAGCTTAAAACATGCCATATTTTCTTGATTATGAAGCTTACATCGTCCTTTCTTGTA